CCCCCCCCCCTATTTAAATCAGTTTAATGATTAAATGAATCTTGAGGTCGTTAAGCAAATCTGGCTTCCCCCATTGACTTTGCTTGTAGGAAACTGTGTTCTGACCCAAGCCTTGTTCAAATTAAACAAACACAAACTGTGTATAAAATCAAACCTTTTTTTAAAATGTGGCACTGGGAATTCCGTGCATTCCCAGCCGTCATTTAAACCTAATTGTCTGAGATAAAAGCAAGCCCTTTGAAGGTTGTGAAAGGCTGCCAAGAACAGAAGTCTAATTACTGATAAATATCATCTGACAGAAGTTTCAAAAATAAACTAGAGTTCGCAGGGCTTCAACGAGGACTCAGAGTCTAAAGAACTTCTTTGCTTCCTGCAAAGAGCACATCCCCGAGGGCTGGTTTTTATCCTTTATGGGAGGGGCATGGCCAGGGACCTTCCAGCCTTACTCCCGAGTCGCCCTTGCTGCTTCAGCTGCTCTCTCCTGACCCCAGGACACTAAAACTGTCCGAAATACTACATGCTGGTTTCTAAGTGTCTGAAAGATTTTTGATCAATTTTTAATTTTATTTCCAAAGTTAAAACACAAACTTCAACAACAAAAAAGAAAATAACAACAAAGCAAAAACTAAACAAGACCAAAAAAAAAGCAACCTAAAATAATGCACTATATTGTCCCCCTATTTGAGTATTGATAAATATAAGCGCTGAATTTTTATCAGCCAGGTGACCCATGGGATGCCGGGATGGTTATAAACGAGAGTAAGCCACTTTTTTCAATGCCGGTGTAACTTTCCGTTGTAAGCCGAGGGCTGCCTGTATATTCACATGTAGAGTTCTGTTTCTAAGCGAAATGGGAAGATGGGAAGAGCTTTGCTGACTCAAGTTGCTGCTTTGTAGCCTCGAGTTCTGCCAAGCTCTGGAGAAAGGGAGGGCAGGAGGAGGTTAAGGTCTCCTAAAGCAGGGGTCCCCAACCCCTAGTCCATAGCCCACTACCGGTCCGTGGCCTGTTGGGAACTGGTCCGCGCAAACTGCAGGCAAGTGCGCAAAGCTCCGTTTGCGCATGCACAGGATTTGGTTGCGCACCTGAAACCACCCCCTCCCCCGCCAGTCTGTGGAGCCAGAAAAGTTGGGGTCTGCTGTCCTCAGGGGACTGAAACACCTGCTCCAGTGGTGCGATTGAACCGGTGTAACAACTGGTGCGGTGAGCGTGTGCTTTGCGTGCACGCCCAGCATTTATAAAAGACAATTTTTAGCTATAATATTTTTTCCTTCTGCTGCAGCCCCGGTGAGTAAAACAGCTGATGCTCGGCTGTGCGAATCAGCTGTGCTCAAAAACAAGGAAATAAAGCACAGGAAAAGGGCAGGGGCAGGTGGGCGGAGCCAAATGATCACCGTTCAGACCGGTTCGCCTGAACCGGTCTGAACCAGTAGAATCTCATCCCTGCCATGCTCCAAATCCTACTGTTTGCCCCAAGCTGAGCAAGAGGACACAGATCAGGCAGACTAACCAAGGGTTATCCTGGGGGCAAATGCTTGTGGCATGGAAACCCTCTCCCCACTTTGTGGCACGGGGGTTCTGTCCCTGGCCATGCTCACCAAGGCATCTACTTGATGAGGCTCTCTTGTTGCCGTTGCCATTTCAGAGCCCTCTCCTCTCCATCAGCAGCAGCAGCATCCGCAAGGTCTCTCCTTCTCGGACCCGGGCATGAGGTACGGCCAGCAGCCCGTCAGTGAGACCGATTCCTCCAACAACAGCCAGCACAATTCCATCACAACCACCCAGACCATCCTGCACCAAGCGTCCTCCCCGAGCCTCTGCTCCACCAGCTCAGGACCAGACACCAAGCTGGTGAGTGAAAGGTGCCCGAGACCCTGGTGGGGGGCCGGACGGGAGAGGCTCTGGCTGGATTCTCGGAGCCTGCCAGTGGGAGGGATGCTGCTCCCTGGGGGACGGTGGGGGGAGCTGGGATGAGGGACTGCAGGGAAGCAGCAGTTTCAGGGAAGGAGGGAACCCACTCCAGAGAGGGGGAGGGGAAGACAAGAGGCAGCCCAAACCAGAGCTGAAAAGGTAGAGACTTGGGATAGCCACTTTGCCAGGGTATATCTGGTAGTCACGTCGTCTGGCAAGATTCTGTCTATTTAGCATGAACCAATAAAAAAAACTGAACTCTGCCTGAATTGTTCAATGGATGGAAACTTATGAAGGATAGAAGGTCTCTATCTCTATCTGTCTCGGGTCTCCACCTTGAGTAGGAGATTGGACTAGAAGACCTTCCTTCCATTATTCTTTTCCCACATCATTCTTGGGCAGGGGTCTCAAACTCGCGGCCCGCGGGCCAATTGCGGCCCGCAGGACGATATCCTGTGGCCCCCACCGTGATATGAAAGTATAATATTAGTGCGGCCCGCAGGGGGAATGGACCTCTGAAGGAAGTCCCGCCCGCCGTTCCTCGTCGTGGCTTCTTCTCCACCCTGAACTTTAACAAGTCCAAGTACAGGTCCAGACTTACTGATGATCATCTTCAAGCCATAACTGAGGGTCTCAAGTGCCTCCTCTCTCAAGCCAAATGTGGCTCAGATATGTGAGAGGAAGCGTTGTCAAGTCTCTGGCAGCCAGGAGTGAGCTGGAGAAGCCATGTTCTGAGGAACTGTTCATGATCTTCATTCCATGTTCCATTCATGTGTTCAGGACAGTTCATGTATTGGAGAAATCATGAACTGTTGATGACATTTGAGGATATTTTTTTAACAATGTTTTTTGTGGAATCCCTTATGCGGCCCAGCCTCACCCAGACTCTGCCTCCAGCGGCCCCCAGGTAAATTGAGTTCTTGGGCTTAGTTTGACAAGAAGCCAAGGGGAGCATCCTAAGCCAAGGAGAAGGACCCCTTGCCGTTTCTGCCATCCGTTGTGGGCCTCCCTTGAGGGCTTCCCCCTCCTGGTATGTGCCGTCTACAGATGGCAGATGTGGCCTGTACACTCTGATCACCCAGCACATTTATGTCCAAGCTGGGTGTTGACTCCAGCAGGAGAGGAGAAGGATCAGCTGGGGTGAAGACTTTTGACTTCAAGAGTTCTGGCACTACTGTGGTGGGCTCCGAAGGGTCCTTAGACCTTATGGCTTCCTTCCTGTCCCACAGATCTCTGCTCCAGGGGGTTCGCTTCCCCCCGTCAGTACCCTGACAGCACTGCACAGCCTGGATCCCAACTCGCACGCCCTGAGCCATCAAACGCAGAACCTTATCATGGCCTCCCTCCCGGGGGTCATGGCCATTGGCCCTGGAGACACACCTTCGCTTGCACCAACGTTCACCAACACGGGGGCCTCCACCTTAGTCATTGGTAAGTGAGGAGGCATTGAGTGTGGAGAGCGGGCCTCGTGAAAGTAGCTGGCACCTGGAGACGTGCAGGGCAGCTCCCTCTTCAGGAGCCATGCCCTCTGCTGCCCAGCTGGGCATTCCTTCCTTACTGGCAGGGGCTGCCCATAGCTTGAGGCCTTCCAGCTGAGATGATATTTTTGGGTGGAAAATATTATGGCCGGAGGACCACTGAGCTCAGCCTTCATGCAAAGGACCCAGTGAAGTAGCCAAAGGTGCTGCACTGAGATTTGTGCTCCAGGTTAATAGGTTTGCCTATGTGGGTGGTTTCCTACACTCCACCAAGCAGCCACCATTCATCTTAACCAGAGTTTAAGTCCATGTGCATAACAGAATCCTATAAACCATAGTTTACCAATAAAAAGCATGGCACACTATGGAAAGCCGTATGCTCAATGGCTAGACCAGGGGTGTCAACTCCGTTTCATTGAGGGCCGCATCAGGGTTGTGTTGGACCTTGGAGGGCTGGAGGTGTGGCCATGGTGGGCGTGGCCAGTTCAGTCCCTCGGTTTGGGGGCACCTGTGTTGGCCAAGTGCTAAGGCAGGACTTCCCTAAGACCCTTCCTCACTCTCATTATAACCTTCCTTCCTTCCTTCCTTTCCTTCCTTCCTTCCTTCCTTCCTTCCTTCCTTCCTTCCTTCCTTCCTTTCTTCTTCCTTCCTTCCCCTCTTTCCTTCCCTTTCCTTCCTTGCTCTCTTCCCCTCTTCCCTTCTTTTTTTTTGCCTTTCCTCTTTCCTGTCCCTTCTTGGATGCTCCACTGCAAAAGGGGAAACATTTGTTTTGTGTTTTTAGTTTGCTTTGCTAGCCCTCTGCCAATGAAAACGGAGCCCCCCCCCCTGAGCTCCATGTTTGCTGGCAGAGGCACTGTGGGCCAGTCCTTTGCTGCTTCCAGACGGGCCCCATGGGCCAGATCTAAGCCCCCTGCGGGCTGGATCCAGCCCATTGGCCTTGAGTTTGACAGCCCTGGGCCAGAGCCTTAAACCACCCTAAGCCAACTCAATTGAACCAGCCATCAAGTGGCCAGTAAGCCAGTCATCCCATTTTGCCCCAAAGAATCTGCTAGGACAAAACCAAGCCAATGGGTTATCTTGGGGCTTAGCATGATGACGAATCCATCCAATGGTGGGGCGGTGTGCATGAGGGCTGCGGGATCATGTTAAGGGGGGCCCCACTGGGGGTTTGACAAGCTCTGGGTGCTGCTGCCCAGCCTGATGAAGGGTCTGTGGTCTCCAGGTCTGGCTTCCACCCAAGGTCAGAGCGTCCCCATGATCAACAACATGGGCAGCAGCCTCACCACCCTCCAGCCGGTCCAGTTCTCCCAGCAGCTGCACCCGTCCTACCAGCAGCCCATCATGCAGCAGGTCCAGGGCCACCTTAACCAGAGCCCCTTCATGGCCACCATGGCCCAGATCCAGGCGCCTCACGGTAGGTTTGGACAGGGGAGGGCGGCCATCCCAGGAAGGCTCCACACCAGGCACCCTTCCTGCACCTGGGAGCTGATGGAAAGGAGGGCCTTTCAGCCTGTCCCTCAAGCCCCCCGCTGCTCATGGTGCCTTCTTGATTTCCATTGTCCCCAGGACTCTATAGCCACAAGCCAGAGGCGACCCAATATGCACACACCAGCCTTCTCCCTCAGACCATGGTGATCACAGACACGGCGAACCTCAGTACCTTGGCCAGCCTGACACCCACCAAACAGGTGAGGGGGGGGGACTGGGGGGGGTGAAGGGAGCCCAAGGGGCCAACCCCCAAGTGGTCCAAGCAGCAACAGAGAACAAGCTGAGGCGAACCACATGGGATCTGCTCCTGCACCCACAGCAGACCAAACCCTGGCCCAAGAGGCAAGTTTCTCAGGAGGAAGTTATCCTACAGTTTCTTCGGCAGGACAAGAAACTAGTATGTAAACCGAGAGCCAACCCCACTCTCTTCTAGCACGGATGATACGACCTAGTTGGGTAACAAAACGTCTGCAAGAAAGCAGGCAAGCTCAGAGAGCACCAAAGACCCAACAGCTCAACCCTGAGCCGCAAATACTCTTCTCTTCTAAGAAAGGAGTGGTTTGCAAAAACAATTTGATGACACCGCTAGCCAAACACAAGTGTGAGTTTCACAACCTGAAACTAAATCTCTTTGTTCCTGCTAAATTTTACACCCCAAGTTTCAAATAGGATTTTGGGTCATTCTGGAGGGTCTTCTTAGGGGATGAAGGCAGGAATGGAAACATTTGCCCCTCCACAGAGGTCCTGCTCTCCTTCCCACCCTTTAAGGCAGGGTTCCCCAAACTTGGCAACTTTAAAGAGTTGTGGACTTCAACTCCCAGAATTCTGGGAGTTGAAGTCCACAACTCTTAAAGTTGCCAAGTTTGGAGGCCTCTGCTTTAAAGTGAAACATCCTGCCCCAAACCCTAATATTGGCTCTGCTTTATCTGGTGAGGTTGCTTTGTTCCTGCAAGGTATCCCCCAGTTCTTTGGTTGGCAAGGAGAGCTGGTTGCATTTTATGCATTTATTAAATTAAATGTATATGCTGCCCACCTCCTTGTGAAGCCACTCTCCGGTTCACAAAAGGTGGCCCCACTCTTGCTTAAAAGGGTTGTGTGAGCACAGGAAATTTGCCCAGGGCAGGTTTTCCTTGGCCATAAAAAGCTGAGATATTTCTTAGACGGAAGACAAGCAGAGCCTCCCGCCTTTGAAAGGTTTCAGGACTCTCTCTCTCTCTCTTTCCTAGCTTTATGGCCAACTTTGTGCCTTTGATCTTCTCCTCCGAAGTCTTTAAGATTAGAAGATCAAAGGCCAAGGCTGGCAAGATTGCCTTTATTACTGATTTTATGGTATTGTGAAGTTTAATTTGCTTGTTAAAGATTGAGTGTTATTTTAAGGTCCCTGCACCATTTGAAAAGGGACTCAGGCGGCCTTTGGACCTCCGGCAAGTAGAAGCGAAACTCGTCCTGATTATTCATTCAAGCAGCCCATCTTTTTCAGGCTGTAGTCAATTTGTTAATGTGAATGTAATTCTTTAAAGCTACTTTAAGGGGTGGGAGAACTCAGCTGCTTTAAAGAAGATGAAGGAGCTGGATGAAGAAGCAGGAAAAGTGAAGGGGGCTTGCCTGCAAAGTACGGGGCCAGCAAATTGTAGGTGCTAAGAAAAAAAAGGGAGCCAAGTGATGGGTGGAAACTCGTCAGGGAGAGAAGCAACCTAGAACTAAGAAATTTCCTGATGGTGGAACAAGTTGCCTCCAGAAGTTGTAAATGCTCCAACACTGGAAGTTTTTAAGAAGAGATTAGATAACCACTTGTCTGAAGTGGTGTAGGGTTTCCTGCCTAAGCAGGGGGTTGGGCTAGAAGACCTCCAAGGTCCCTTTCAACTCTGATATTCTATTCTAATTAATTCTATTCGCACTTTGCCAGTTGCAGAGGCACCAAAGGCTATTGAGGGAAGTTCCAACCTCTCTTGTCCCTTTCAATACATTCCAAGCTTCTCTTGATGACCATCCGCTCCAGGGGAAGAGTCCAGGAAGGCAGAAGAGGCTCAGCTGTCCTGGACTGCATGCTAAAGCAGGGGTCTCCAACCTTGGCAGCTTTAAGACTTGTGGACTTCAACTCCCAGAATTCCTCAGCCAGCAAAGCTCTGGGAGTTGAAGTCCACAAGTCTTAAAGCTGCCAAGGTTGGAGACCCCTGTGCTAAAGCAATAGGAAGTTTTAGCTGAGGAAACAGAAACAGCAGGAAAATTAATGGAAATGGACCACTTAATGCTGATTCTGGATTTTAACAAATAATAAGTCTTAGCATGGGCACATGTGTGTCTTGGACTTTAAGGAATTTGAACTTTGTTCAAAATAGAAGAGGGATAAAATAGGACACGTAGCAGGAGAGAGAAATGGGAAGAGGACTTCAGGATGGATAGCTGCTCCGAAAGGAGGGGATTTTAAAAGTGCCCGTTAACCTCTAAACCAAATGAAGGAAAAAGGAAACAAGAGCAGAGCCGCACACAAAAGCTGAGTGAAAATCTGAAGAGAGAGAGAGAGAGAGAGAGAAAAGACACTTTCAGGAAACGGAGAGGCAGGCAATTCTCATGGAAGAGCAGAGCTGGGAAGCCTCAGACTTTAGAGAGAGGAAAATAAACCCTCCAAATAAGAGGAGCTTTAGTGGAGGATGCGAAGGACAAAAAAGGCTTCTTCGGGTATGCTCAGAATAAAGGGAACTGGGCAAGAATAAATTTGACAGCTGCTCCAAGTGCTGGTGAATAGTGAAAAGCTTTGGTTCACTCTTCTTTGACAAACAGCTGTGTGGGGCAGGAGGAAGCCCATAATAAAAACCCTCTAGGCCCAAACACACTGCAACCCTGGATACCGAACATCAGAGGGGCCATCACTCTGCAAGATTCAAAGCGTTTCTTCTGAACGTTTTGCATCCGTTTGACTTTCTAAGCCTTTCTAAGCCCAATACTGCTGTTTTAGTCTTCTACCGTGCTGCGTCTCCCAAGTAGCCATGGGCAAGCTGTCTATGTAACAGCCTTTGGGTTGTCCTGCGATTTCCCCCCCAGATCTTCACGTCAGACGCAGAGACTCCCACGGAATCCGGGATCCCAACGCCGACCAGCCAGCCTTCGGTCCACTTGCAGGGCCAGGAAGGATCCATCCAGTCGCACCTTCAGTCAGGACCCCGCCTCACCTCCAGCCCCGCTGGTAAGTGGCAACTTTCCCCAAGGACAGGGGTCCCCAAACTTGGCCACTTGAAGACTGGTGGACTTCAACTCCCAGAATTCTGGGAGTTAAAGTCCACAACTCTTCAAGTGGCCAAGTTTTGAGACCTCGGCCCTAAATGTTCCGTTAGATCCCTGAACGTTTTATTCAAAGCCGCCATTTGCACTTATGACCACCGGGTTCGCTTAATGACCCCTGCAAAAAGGTTATAAAATTGGGTCGGTTGTCTTTAATCTGGGCAAATCGATTGGGGCTAACTGTGCACAAACCCGGCCACCTGTGGGTGTACACACAGCTACCCCATCTTCTCCGATCGTGCACAACCATCTGCAGGTGGCTGGAGAAGGTCTGCAGAGGTAAGGCATCCCCACCCCTGGGGCGCGGAGGCTTTGAGATGCTGGCAGCCCCCTCCCTTCCAAATGCTCTCCACAGCCCTGAAAGGAAGGCAAAAGGCTTTGCCTTCAGTGGCCTGGGGCGAAGGAGGGAGACGGGGACCTTCCTCTGCTCCTTGGGGATCTGCTTAGCAAGGGGTGTCATCTCAGAAGAGCCACCATCCCCTGCCAGAATGGGATGCCCCCAAACAGTCAGCCACAAACTCTCTAGGGGAGAGGTCTCCAACCTTGGCAACTTTAAGCCTGGTGGACTTCAACTCCCAGAATTGGTCCTCCAGGCTTAAAGTTGCCATGGTTGGAGACCCCTGCTCTAGGAATGAAACATGCTGTCTGTCACAGGTGGCTTTAACAATGATCCCTTCCGTGTTTTTAAAATGAGCTGATTAAATAGGACTTGGGATACTTTGGGGTGGGGGGTGTAGGGATTGTGAAGGAAAGAGCGAAAAGCTCCTTGTGCGATGTGCTCACCTGTTGTTTCTGCTGCCCCCCCCCCCCCCTCTCTCCCCCCCCCCCCCCAACAGTCTCCTCCGGCAGTTTGGTCCTTTACCAGAGCTCCGACTCCTCCAACGGCCACTTGCTGCCCTCTGCCCACGGCGTGATAGAGACCTTCATCTCCACCCACATGGCTTCCTCCACGCAATAACCCGGCCGGCCACTGGACGTTCGGCAGCCCTTGCCTGCAGCCCGTGGGACCTTCCCCTGCTCCTGGGCCGGAAGGCCAGGCGGTGCCCCTGGCTGCCTCCTCTGCCGGGATTTGTGTGGCTTTCCCCCCTTCTCCCACAGGCTGTAATTTCAAAACTCCAAGGAAAAGATGCCCCAAGCAAGCAGGGGGCAGAGACGGAGCTTTTGCACTGCTGAGAAGACAGGAAGGGTTTGTAGTGGACAATGTTCTTTGATCTGGGGCTGGCTGGCTGCCAGAGGGAGGGTGGAGTAGAACAGTGAGGGGCCTCCTGCTCTTCAGGTGGGATCCCAGAGCAAGACTCGGAAGAAGGACAAAGCAGAGTTGGAACAGGGAACAAAGAAAGGGACCACTCATCCTCTAGGACAGGCACACACCTGGGGCACTGAGCCTTGGGAGAACTTGGACTCAACTTGGCTCTGGTTGCAGAGATGCTCCTGGCAGGTTCTCAGCCCACAAGCGGCCCCACAGGCTGAGCCCGAAGCGGAAACTGCAAGGAGAGCAATGCCAAAGGTCTGAACCAGGCAGTTGATACTTCCTGGACCTTCTACATGCTTGTGCAATTGTGCAAGGCACCAGGAATCTGCGCTGGCAGCAATCAAGTGTAACAGATGCATTCTACATCATCAACAGAATACTGCTTCAAATTTAAATTAAAAGACCCGCTCATAATAGAGTTAAGAGCCTAAGTAAAACATGGAAACATGTAAGTCTCACCTCCCATTTTAGAAATAAGCAAACCAAATAGCTTGTCCTCATGATGTTTGTAAAAATAGCAATAAATCCCCAAAGAGGATGAGCATCATTTCTATAAATTGCTTAAAAACAAAGGAACCCTGTTGCTGCTACCCCAAGTCAAAGAACTGGAGACCACCTGCATTCCACCAGCTTCCCTCCACCTGCATCTGATCTGCCTCAACATTCCCTTCCTGGATTCAGGCACCCCTCCTCCCTCCCAAGTGCTAGATTAGTTATGTAACAGCCTCTGACTGGGCATAATTTGGACCAGTTGCAGAAACAGGCTTTTTTTTTTCACAGGGGGTTTAAATGGTAGCTGTGCTTTTTCCCTAGCGGTTGCTCATTTTGGAATCCGGCTCCGGAGACAACTGGCTGGAGACGTGTGTCTGCTATCACCGGCAACAACTCAGCCCATTAGGCCACTTCTCCAAATGCACAATCCAAACTTCTTTCCTAGTGAATGTTTGGGGATATGCTAGCTTACTCTTGGCCTCCTCACTGGAGAGCAGTGTCTCCACACACAACAGGCATAGCCAAGATCTTTCTGTTGCTAGGAGAACCACAAATTGTTCACATGGAAGAAGCCAGAAGAAAAAAGCCAGAGGGAAAATCACTGGTCAAGTCAAAGTGGAAAAGAAAACCAGAAATTAACTAGGCATAAGTCTTGCCTATGCATCACCCTGTACTTATTTGAGGCTCAGAATATTATTCATTGAGCTTTTGAATCTTGTAAATCAGTAGCCAAAGTTATCCATTTGGGTGTTTCAAGCTCCAGGTGTTGCTCTTAGGCCCCAGAGCACTCTGGAGATTTCACAGGCAGAATCACGGGCCTCATCAGCTCTGTTTTGTACATATATTTAACTTTTGGTCAATAAAACAGGGGAGATGTTAAAATATTGTTATGTATATTGGCTATTTACAAAGTGACCCATCTCACAGGATCTGGAACCATGTCTGTAAAGGCGGAGTCACATCATTCTTCAGATGGAGGAGGTGAGAAAACAGAGAAGCTGCTCTGGCCACTCCTCCAGGTGACCCACAAAGCTGGTCATCCCTGCCCACCCACAATCTTCACTGCCCGCCCCCCCCTCATTTCCTGCAGCTCCAAGAGCCGCCAAGGCTCACCCGAGAAAGCGGCAGTTGGGGTGTCCACTTTGATGGGATGCAAGGAGTGCCAGCCGGCTCTTCCTCCCAATTTGTGATGCTACCCTCCCCACCACAGTAGTTGGAGCAGCTCTTTTCCATCACTGAATGAGTCCCTTCATTTTCCCAGCCAAACCAGGCCCAACTCAGGAGCCCCCTGCCCCCTGTGAAGTAACTCCCCCTGGCAAACAAGTATTGGAGGAAGGGTCATTCCGTTCCTGCTTCTGTCTTCCTCCTTTTCCTCTTCCTCTTCCTCTGCATCGTCTCTGTCCAACTGATGGCCTCTGGACTGCTGGGACAGGAGAGCTCCTTGTTCTGGCTGTTACTCGCTGCTTCGATGGCCCCTGGCTGGCCATTCTCCTCTCTTTTCCCTTTCTTCTTCTTCTTCTTCTTCTTTTTGACTTTTTTCCATGCAGCCTCTATTGTTTGGCCGGAGTCCTGGGCCACTGGTGGGGGCAGACCGCTCTGTTTCAGAATGTCCGCTGCCGTCACCGCAACCTCTTGGCACCTGTGCCAATCTGAGTCACTTTCCAGGCCGCTGGAAGAACCACAAGCAGGGAGGAAAGCAGAATTACTATAAATAATATATAGGTGTGTGTGTGTGTGTGTATATATATATATAAAATATAAGATGAACACTATACAGAAGCCTGATGATGGCAGATGAGATTCTGCCGAAACGTTGCTACAACTTTAAAAGCACAACTACAATGATGTGGGAAAATACCTGAACAAAGCTGAATGCCACACACACACACACACACACACACACACACACACACACACATTAATGGCTTACAATTCTGAGACTGAAACCGTGCAAAAGATCTAGATACACGTGGGGATGGGGTGGGGGGAATATAGTAATGAAGCCATATTAACTGGAAGACCAGCTGTTTCGTTCCTTTATGAGTGAGTCATGCCCGACTTATCTTTAATCAAGTTATTCAACCAATATTCTTTGTACAACACCCAACTTCACGTGCTGAGTTTGCACAATATGCACTTGTTATCCTGGGTGGACACAATCACCGTGTTATGCAAACTGAATCCGTTTACGATGCTGTGTGCTGTGTAAATCCTATCAAGAAATTAGATTGGCATCAAGTTAAACCTACTGCCTTGGTCCACACCACCCTCTAAGCCAGGGGACCCCAAACTTGGCCGCTTTAAGACTTGTGGACTTCAACTCCTAGAATTCTCCAGCCAGCATAGCTGGCTGGAGAATTCTAGGAGTTGAAGTCCACAAGTCTTAAA